CATAAAAACAGGTGCTTGTCCGTCTGTAGTGTGGTTATATAAAATATAAGAGAAAGAGAGAACTTTAAGAAATTAATATAGCCACTACAGTGACCATCAAAGCGATGAAAAAATATTGCAGTATTTTGCGACACCACGAAACAAACAATAGCGTAGACGTTTTTTATATCGTCATCCGATATATATCGTTATATCAAACAGCCCTAAGTCTTACAATAGTTTTTTTTAGTGCATGTATTTCCTGGGCTATAAATGACCTCACACAACTTTCCAGTATCTTTGCCACACCAGTGAGCTGACAGTAGACTGACAAAGTCACGTCAGGAATCGTTTCACAACAGCACATATAACTATACGACCGGGATCATAAATGACTCCACTTGGTCACTTGAAGGTTACGTTTGCAAATGTGGTCTAATCTCATTAAACATGCACTAATTTGCATAAACCTCCAAAGTGTAAGGTAAGATTTAAATTTGTATTCTGGACATTTTCTTTTGAGCAGTCTGACAGAGGGGATATTCCGGAATTACAAAATGTACCAAGGCCTCCAAAAACCTATTATATGGGGCGTGTGCAAACTATATTTTCTATTAACTCTGTTTCTTTGATGTATATGTAAACTTTACATAAACTGCCTTTCATTTCTGAATAATTTCACACAAGTCCCCCTCCCACGGATTCATAGCAGGGGGCTTACTTCACAGCGATGAATCTTGTATGTGATGTCCTGTTTACAGCCTCCCTGATTGAGCTCTGATTGATATGAAGCTGCCTCGCCTACTTTGCTGCATACCGTGTGACACATACCTTTTTTTCTGACCTCCTCTGGAGCTCAGAGATCAAAATAAAACCAGTTCAAAAGAAGCGTTTTGATCTGATATAAAGACTCGTAGCTTTTTGTAACTGTCACATATTCCCCTGCGAGGATTCACCACGTCAGACTCCTTGACACCAACAGAATCAACATTCAGTACAATGAAAACTACAAACTCGCTATGAAAGCAAATGAGCTGAAGTGTCAAAGGTAAAAAAAATTAAAAACATACAACAGTACAGTAGATGCAAGGCTCAATTTGATTGTCATGCTTTGGGGAAAAAGTGTCAGAAAAAAAAATTGAATCTCACTAACTGAAATGAAGAGACGTAGTCTAAGTGCTCCCCTATGGTTCCTGCTTCAGTGCAGTGCTTGAAGAGTGATTATGTTTGAATGATTTTAGGACAGACAAGCAGGAGAGTAAAACATCATACTCACGGTATAATTCCTTATAAATCCAAGCTTTGGTACAAGAGAGAAAGGAGAGTATTTAACTACAGTAACTGGAGGGGGAGGGATGGCAACACAATAACAACTTTGATATTTGCTAATTTGGTTTGTAGCCAAAAATGTGCCATTTTTAAACAAGATTTAACCTTTTGTTGCACCAAGTCACAATTTAGGTTGATAAGATGAAGCTTAGACAGCTCCTTTTCACATACGGCAGAATATGGTGTGTTAATAAGATGAAAGGCTTGATGGGTGATATTCTAGTTTTTGGGAACCATATTAATTGCTGATACTCTGCTCCTAACAGTAAAACAGATACATAATGTGTGAATAGAATCAAGATGTTAGGTTGCAAGTCATACATGCCAGGAGACTGGTTGGTAAACTTCTGGCAACCTCCAGTTGCTAGGGAAAAGTGTTTATTCCTCAGCCTGTTGGCAAAATGTTGCTGGCAGTCGCTGGGGGAAATTAGTAACAAAGGCTGCTGCACCAAAACTGAAAGGGAGAAGATTTTCTATAAAAGTAAAACGCTTTAATTTAAAAGGGTAACTTTTTCTTTGAAGAAGTTTGCAGTTTCATTAATGCTTGCAAGTAGTTTTGTGCCTGCAAGCAAGTTGGCATCTTTTACCATGCAACCTGCAAAAACTACTGAAGAGGTTTTCAGTGCAGCACAGTAAACCTCTTTGTGACCACCAGCAACCTCCAGCAACCACTTGCCAAATGGTTGTGAAAAACACTGTTTTTCCTAGCGACTAACAGTTATTAAGGATGTCACTCTAAGCCTGCAGGAATAGGGGTAAGTCTAAGATTTCATGGTGACTGCTAGCAACCTCTAGCAACCACTTAGGGCTGGCCAGGAAATACACATTTCCTTCCAATTTTAGTTCACCTTAAGGAGAAATGATACTGTGAGAAAATGAGGCTAAAGGGGGGGTTGGTACCCTGACCAAGCATCAGTATTGTTCAGAGTGGAGCATGTACACATTCTGAGATGATGAACACTATTAAACCAATTCACACTATACCCAGTAACCATTCCCATCATACTAACAATTGCAGACCTATCGCGATATTTGTTGGGGGAAGGGGATTTCACTTGGCTTCTACTGGGCCTCACCAGTAGATTTGTAACACAAAGTCTCTGCAAAGTGTCTAAAATACATCATATTAATGAGTCAAGCTGTTGACAAGGAAGGGATGTTACCTTGTTCCTCTTAAAATAGGCTCTGCGGCAGGCAGCGAAGCATTTCTCACTGCAGAAGCTCTTCAGCTCACTCCCCATGCTCAGAGAATAGCGCTTGACGCCGACCTTCTGGCACCAGGCGCACATGATCTGCACATTGGACGCATCCTCGTCTACAGAGAAAAGGAGAGGTAATGAAATGAGCATTATGATGTGCTCTTTACACCAAGGGCTTTTGCTATATTCTAATACTATGTCCAATAAAATAACCTTGTGGTACAATTCTCAAACCCTGTAATCAAAGTGAGCCTGATACTGATTACAATCTATCCTATATGGAAGGTAAAAAGTGCATGGCAGGGACATCGTATGCAACTACACGTATTAAACAGACAAACCATAAAGGCATTAATTCCAGTGATGAAGCCCAGCTGCTCAACTGGATAAAACTTTTCAAGACTCAAGCCACAAAACCACTGCAGGATTTATAATGAAGCCCTGCCATGGATAAATGTAGCCACAACGGATGAGCCTGGGATATGGGAAAATGCTTGTTTATGGCTGTGCTCTGTGGGTATTAGAGAACTTGAAGGGACAAAAGCATGTATTCTGCTGCTGCTGAAGATGACGCAGGAGTCTCTGCGAGGTGTAGCGTCCTCTTGATAGTTTGTGCCATCAAAGGTGTAAGTTCGGTGAGGCGTGTTTCACACAAATGGAACACATGAGTTAAAAGTTTTCCGCGTTACACAAGCCTGATTTCCACCGTCTCCATATAAACAGTAAAACCTAATGTGAAATCACACTTTTTTTTAATTTTTGTAATTCCAAAATTATTCATGACGAGAGTACTTTTAGGGCAGAGGAAAGGAAGAAAAAGAACAAAATTAAAAAACATGAGGGGAAAAACTGAATACATATACAAATTTAGCCCACAAGGACAGTCGCTGTGATAAACATATATTCACATTACAGGTTCACAACAAGATTAAGGTTAGGGTGTTTCAGCAAAGACTGGAGCTGTAGGATGTCTGTTAACTGCTGAATAAACAGGCACACTTTGGGCCGTATCCACACTGATATGTTTTCATTTTGAAATGTGTAGCATTTGAAATCTAAACAGGAAGAAATCGGAACTTCTGGGACTTATGGAAATAATGATGCAGACACCCACATTAGATGCCTTGATGAGTCCCTGCCTGATTAGTCACGTCCCTCGCACATGACCCGTTTTCTGACCTGTTATTATGACTTATGGCTTTGTTTTAGTGCTACGTGACCTCCGGCGACTTTCTGCATAATGCATAATTGGGCAGAAATTACATCTACAAATGAATACACCTAAGCCAGAGTTACTCAACAGAAGGGATACATCACCTGATCTTTAACATGCTGCATAGTCAGTGTAATGGATTGTGCCACTGTGCAGCCTTGTGGCTTGTGTGGTAGAGCGCGTACGGTATCATTCAGAAGGTTGTTGGTCTTATGTACAGGAAAAAAGTGAATGTGTGTCACTCAATGCATAAGGTTTGCTTTGAGTGCTCACTTATAGTAGAAAAGCGCTATTCAAGGTACCACTTCTAGGTTATGTGTGTTGCCGACTGTACGCTCTCTCCAAGCGGACACGCAAGAAACAAAGCCAACGTGGAAGTGCAGTTCCTCTAATGTCTCACGGAAGTGAGTCAATCTTGAACTAAATAAACATGCTTACAGCCTGGTAACAAAGACTAATTTGGCTTCTTTGAACGCTTTCACCGTTCACATTTGGATGGTGTGTGGGATATTTTTTCTGCCCCCTCAGAAAAATAATTCAGGAGCCAGAAAAGTCCTACATACTCTGAAGCCTTATGGAATACTTGTAATTTATTACTGCTCTCATTGTCACATTTATGAACTTTAACTAATGGAGTTCAGCCCTTAAAAATATAACCACAGTGTTTACAATAACATTGTAATGTATATTTTTTTAAATGACATTAATATGCGCTATATTCCTAGGATGCAACAGCACAAAAATACTGTCAGTTTAAAGGACGAATGAATAAAAATTACACCACAGTAGATTAGTAGAATCTGTTTGTTTTTTTTTTTTTCTTTTTTTCCTGCAGAGCGCTGTCTGCAGTGTGTCGCCCTCTTGTATCCACACTGGGAAGGGGACATCCGTTTCCATTTACTGAGATCAGTAGCAGACTTTTATAAGAGTCAATAAACATGTAAAAATAAATCAGCTTTGTATAATGCTTTACTGCACCACGGGCCGCACGATCTAACTGTGAGCGATGCAGTGAATCATGGTCAGATTAGGGTTTATCTTTTCATATATGAGTGTGGCTGGATCTTCTCTACCCGTCCATCACAGCAGCTGCAATATCAATTGCAAACAAACTGCATGTAACAATTCATTTAGAGACGAGGCTTTCGAACTGCAGAGACAGCAGATATGATGCATAACTGCAATTCAACAAGCTGAAATAATAAACTGCAGATCTGACCTTTGTAGAGAAGTTTGATCAGGCATGTGTTTGACACTCTTCACTTTCTCCTCACCCTCAACCGGTTTGTGGCAGATGACTTCCCCCAGCTGAGCCTTAGTCTGACGTTAGTTACGAGTTTTTGCTCATAAGTGGTCATCTGGTTGTTGTGGTTTCCTTTTTAATATTGTAGGGCAGTGGTTCTTAACCTGGGTTCAATTGAACCTTAGGGGTTCAGTGAGTCGATCTCAGGGGTTCGGCAGAGCCTCCGCCGTGACATGCATGGCTCATTTTGTGCACCAGTAAAAAAACATATCTATGTCTTGAATTTGAAAAACATCATATTTTATTTTTCACTAAAGAGGGGTTCAGTGACTGTGCATATGAAACTGGTGGGGTTCGGTACCTCCAACAAGGTTAAGAACCACTGTTGTAGGGTCTTTAGCATACAATAAAAAGCACACTGAGGTGATAGATTTTCTGGTTTGGTGCCATATAAATGAGACTGAATTGAATTTGTCTTTTATCTAGTTAGTGGTAGTTTTCATGTTGTAATAGCAGCTGTATAAGTTGTCCTGAGTGCTACAAGTGAAATTCACTTTCTGACTTTGTTATTATTTGCAGTGTAGACTGTTTCAGGATGTTTTGTTTGAGCCCCATTGGGGCTAAAAAACAAATAGTAGAGGCAGGGACATGTAGGCCACATGGGGATAAAAAATAACAGGCAGAATTAAGGTGCTACATAGTGATAATTACAGTAGTATGCAGCATTTTTACATTATATTAGCACATAATGAAAATTTCTGTTCTGGGACTGACTCGTAAATAAAAATAAAGTATTATTTTAAGTGTGTGGATTTAGGCCATATTTAACGGCCTACCACAATTTACAGTGAGATATAGTGAGCTTGACTTCTGCTTATTCTGGGATAAAAAAGATTTTAAAAAAGGATTTTTAAAAGGTATCCAGGGCTCATCTGTCTGGTAAAGGGGACCAGTTATGGTAATTTCTGGGTATTGTTATTCTTGGACTCTAGTAGAGTAGCTTTGCATAATTCATAGTTCAAAATAGTCCTCGTTTATCTCATACAGAGCCTCGGAGCAGCACATTAGTTCATTCTCTGGCTGAAGCTGATTTAGCTCCTTTCCCATTAAGGCTAACTTTCTACTGATTGGCTGCCTCTCGCAAACTGATGACTTGAACTGCTGGTGAGTAGAGCTACTGCATTCACAGTTATCATTAGAAATCAATCATAATCAGTCAATCATATTAGAAATATCACCTCTCTATGACATCATTTAGATGCAAGCATAGAGAACAAAAAGGAGGGTTAAGAATATTCTGAAGCCTGAGCTTTTGGCTCATAGGACTCCAGGTTATATGCTGTTTGGCGTGTTTAATATGAGCACCAAGCATTGTTACAGTATATATGACGGAAAATAAGGAAAATGAAACAGTACAGCTGCAGCTGACCCCCTCACATTCCCCTTTTAATTCTCGAAATCATGTTTATGACAACAACAAATGCATTCCCTTGTTCAACCGTGAATGTAATTGTATTGCATGCAGCTGCCGCGTTGCTGTGTGGTCAACAAATTATTTTAACAGACCCTCAGTGACAGCGAAATGCCTCTTCTGCGGTAAACTGTGACTGCTCATGATGAGCTGCGGGCTTTTAGTGCCGCCGCTGCTGAAATGAGAGAGATCCTCCGAGATTCCCTCCAGTATCTCCCAATTATCACATTATGACTATACGCGGGTGTGAGGGCGAAAAAACGCAGGCCCATTAGTCTTTCACCTCTGTTCACCTCCCTATCGCACGCTGGCCAGGCTTTTCACCTCTTGTGGAGCTTAATGGATCTACAGGGCCATCAGATTTTAAGTAAAGACTAACTCACAATTAAAGGAATAACTCCCTGGGGCACTAAAGACAGCATAGCAGACCCAACATGCATATTTTATGGCTTAGCTTCCCCTCTGCTCTCATTCCTATACTCTCTTTGCCTTTTTGTGTCTATCTGGATAGCTGCCCACTGTGGCGATAAGAGAAAAAAGACAAAATATCTTAATTCTAAGCTGACTGAGTGGGTGGATCAGGGTTTGTACGTTGCTCGGAAAAATGCATGCACCGCAGCATAATGATCAGGATCGAAGGCCAATATGAAATCACAACATCTTTCACAGTATCTCAACATTTTCACACAAAGAGACATCTTGAGGTGGAGTTGTTTTCGCCTTCCCACATCCTGGCACATCCTAACAAGCTCATCTGAAAACACTCACATCTGCATGAGCAGGGGAAAAAAAACATGCCAGTAATTATGCAGCCTCCGTACTAAATGCCACCGTCATTCGCCGTACCTGCACCTCAAAAGGTCCTTTGTCGGATTTTGCGGGGGCACATGAATAATTCAGTGTATGTGTGGAGGTGGAGGGTGGGGGAGTTGAGGGAGGTGTTGGCCGGGTAGTTAGTTGGTGCTGGTGGGCTTTAAGTGGGACCGCACCATCTGTTTCCCCGCCTAGGCAGGGCCAGCGGGGACTCCTCTTGGGCGATGCCAAGGAGGCTTGCTCCCTTCGCCGGGGCGTACCAGCCTCCTGTCCACAGCAGACGCAAGGGATAATGAAGCCCTCTGTCTGGCCGAGTAACGTGGACATTTCCTCAGAGACTTGATGGGGTAATATTGACACTTGGGCAGGTGGAGAAAAACAAGGTGTACAGCAGGTAGCTAGCTCATTAGTCGCCTGCCTCTGCTCTGATACGAAGGCTTTCAGACCATTGCACAAACCGAAACCTTCACAACTGCATAAATCCTGGGTTTCCATGCTAAGTGCTGGAGAATCAGCATTTAGGTATCTTCATTGCAATCCAGTCAGTCTGGAGAGCAGCTGTGGTTTAAGTCTATGACATTTCTTCTTTCAGACTGGAGAAACAACTGTTCTGTGTGTGTGTTTGCTTGCTTTCAGGCATTTGAGTGAATATATTAGCAATCAGTGATGGGCTAAAAATGACCTTGATCTTTTTGCAAATTTAATAAGTAACCTTCCTTGTAACATAAAAGCAGAAAACAGTTGTAACTTTCTACACAAGCTGTGATGTGGCTGGTGTTCCAACTTTTAAACAGTTTTTTTCCTATTTCTAGAAGGCATCACGTTTTACTGCTCTTGAAAAATCAAGGACATGCATGCATGCATACTTACATGCAAGTCTAAACTACTTTATCAATTAATCTGCTGCATTAATCTCTCCAAAATGGCATTAGTGCTCTGTACCTGCAGGGGGCTTGATCAGTGGTGGAGGGATCATGGGGACTATGATGGGCAGGTTGCCATGCTCCTTGGTGCTGGGCGTGGAGGTGGACGGCGTGGTGGAGGTCTCTGTGAGTCCGTTCCTGGAGGCTGGCAACGAATGAAAGCTGTTGGCTCGATCCGGAGAGCCTTCACTGTTCTCTGTTGAAGCTGGGATTTTTGGCAACGAGTTTTCTAGATGGGAAAAGTTAAGTAAAATAAAGCATTTACTGACCAACTAATGAGCAGCATTTGCTGCAAATACTCTGAGTGTAAATGCCCAAGATTCACCTAAATTATGACTCAATATTTTCCACCAAAGTAGAAGTAAAAATACTAAAAACAATGACTGGATTTTAAGGTAAATCCAGACGTTTCTGAAATCAACTGACGTAGCATCGTTCAGGTCATTGTTTTGGTTGTAAACGTACAACTTTAATGTTTGTTTTAGTGTGATTTCTCTTATTCAGGCTGCAGCAGGTTGAACAAGCTGCATTAAACCTAAAGTGCACAACCTGCACAGCACCAAACAGCAGTTAAAAGTTTACTAAGTTATTCAGCTCTGAGCACATGTAGCAGATTAAAAGATTATGCTGCACAAAAGATTTGGCAAGTAGATATTCAGAAGACATTAAAAGAGTTTAAACATCTTGTAAATGACAACCCATAAAAAAAGCAGCCAAAGTGGAAGTGCCAAAAACTGCAGTTCCTCTAGTGGCCACTTGAGGCTGGCTCCAAAGGCGACTCAGTTCCAATAGGATGAAATCCTTAAAAGTATGGTTTGAAAGCTAAAATAAACCTGTTTACAGCCTTGTAAAACTCTATATAGGCTTAAAACTTTCCTTTTTATAAAGCATATAATTAATGCTGGATCAGATCACGGTGAATCGTCTTTTAGTTATGCTGCTATAGCCCTAGGTTAATGGAGACTTCCCATGATGCACTGTGTGTTTCTTCTTCACTCAACTATTTCACTCACTTATACAGAATTCGAATCATTACTTATTATTAATCTCTGGCTCTCTTCCACAGGGAAGAGTCTTTTATCCTGTCTCCCTCCCCTCACCCCTGATTGGTTGTGGCAGATGGCCACGCCTCCCTGAGCCTGGTTCTGCTGGAGGTGTCTTCCTATAGAAAGGGAGTTTTTCCTCCCCACTGTTGCCATATGCTTGCTCATAGAGAGTGAGCGGATTGTTGGGGGTTTTCTCTGTATTACTGTAGAGTCTCTACCTTAAAATATAAAACACCTTGAGGCGACTGTTGTTGTAATTTGGCACTGAATTGAATTGAATTGAATTGAATTGAATTGAATTGAATTGAATTGAATTGAATTGAATTGAATTGGGGGCAAA